TTTGTCGTTGAAGACAAATATATAATGGATTAACTATCCACGTTGTCCATTTGTACTATAAAAGAAATGAAAACTCTGCCCTTTTTAAAGGAATACACCCCAAATCCAAAATGTAGATGAGTTTCTTCATCGGAACAGATTTGGAGAAATTTAGTGTTACTTCACTATAGGTCCTCTGCAGTGAATGGGTGCCGTCAGAATGAGAGTCCAAACAGCTGATAAACACATCACAATAATCCACACGATTCCAGTCAATCAATTAACATCTTGTGAAGTGAAAAGCTGTGTGTTTGTAAGAAACAAATTCATCAGTAAGATGTTTTTAAGATGTTTTTAACTTCAAACCATCGCTTCAGGCTAAAATACACTTCCTCTATCCATAATATTGCTTCATTCTCCAGTGAAAATTATGTCAGTGGATTTTGATGTGAGTGAATACATTTTTTTCACCGGAGGAAGCGTTAATATGGATTATGGACTAATAATGGATTTTTTTGCCATAATAATTACCAACATGCAGACTGAAGTTGTGTTGTATACTTGTAAGATATAACCAGTAAACTATCCCTGTAAGAATTTGTGTTTGGTCTGGAAGGATGATTCGCAATCTAGATATATTGTCATCGGTGGTATATTTCAGTTGAAAGTTGCATTGTAAATGAGCATGTAAATCCTGCAGGTTGGACGTTTGGATTGTCTGTAGCATATATACAGCGTGTCTCTGAATGTGACAGTGGGTGTACATATAAGATCACAGCTGTGAAAGGTGTCTTTTTGTTGAGTGAACATTGTGCAGCCAACAACGGGAGGAACAAATTAGAAATTCAACGGTGTACAGTCACCATGGAGACCACTATTAGGATGACAAGGACACTATATTATGTGGGAGCGGAGATGTCTCGTAGTTTCATGCCTCTTGGTAAGCTTTTAATTAGTTGGGGAAAAAAATACAAAACTTAAACAGAGAGACCAGGGTCTGCTGATTTACCTTGGATTGAGGTACTACTAGAACTGTCAAATTAATTGTGTTTTCTGTGATCAAACACAGACCCATTGGACAGAAGTAGGAGGAGGGAGAGAGAAAGACAAACACAGAGAGACAATTACTAGTCTAGACATTACATATTATAAATGATTTATTTTCTGATCAAGTTTATGAAATGAAATGGCTTGCGAAAGGCTGTGGGAATCAGTCGTTTTTTTTTGTATCACCCTGTCTTTGGAAAACAGCAACAAACAGGCAGTTTTTTTGTCATATCTGACTCAAATCTGTTTAGTTGTTTATAATGTCTACAGCTACGTCTGAACTCCTTTTACTCATATATAAGGCTTCACTATGTAGTGAATATTGAATGAGTAAACAAACAAGCACAGTATGATGAAAATTATAATAATAATTCCTTACATTTATATAGCGCTTTTCTGGGCACTCAAAGCGCTTTACATAGAAGGGGGAATCTCCTCAAAATATCCTCGGAGTTTTTAAAGACATGGGGAGAGGCAAAATTCACATTTTCTTTGCTTTTCCTCTCAATTGCTGTAAAAGAAGTCTCTTGGCAACTTACGGAGCTTAAGTCAAATGGAAAAATTTAATAAAACAATAAAAATAAATTTAAGCTATATATGTGATTTTATTTATATAAGTATTATTTTAGTAACATTGAGATGTTATTTTAGTTTCGTTATTATTTTGAATTAGATTTTATTTTTATATTTTGAGCTCTCATGTTAATTTTTGTTAAAGTTTTAGTAATTTTGTTGTTTTTGTCATTTTTATTCGTTTTTGTTGTTTTTAAATGTCTATATAGTTTTTATTAATTTTTATTTCAGTTTTATTTATTTTAGTAAATCAAGTTAAACTAAATGAAAATGTGAAATGATTTCAGTAGAGTTTGACTTGGACATGTTGCTAACCTACATGTAATGGTGTGATTCTCTAGTAAGCATAAAACACATAGCACAAACAAATTCCATCATATGAAACTTTTTATATATATATATATTTTTTTCAATATAAAATGAAATATGTTTATAATGTCTGCCATATAGATTTATTTATTTATTTATTTTAACTGAGCTCTGTGCAATGCATTCTGGGACTGCACTCTCTGTGAACAATGCATTTGATGCTTATCTTAAGATATTTATCTTAAGAGGCAATGTAATTAAGAAGCCTATGGAAAAGCCGAGAACGCAGCTATGGTGACTATGGCTAGGTTTTGGAACAGAGCAACAGTTCCTCTGTCAGCACAGTCAGGCTCTGACCACTCCCATGCTTTCCATAAGGCTTATTCAACAGAATATAATGAAAACATGTTGACATCTGATGAATGCATATGCTACAGTACTTCCTCCCTGCTTCTTTCTTTCTACCATTGTCTTTCTCTCTCTCTGACACACTTTCTCTCATTCTGTCACCCTTGCACACACACACATACACTCTTTTTTTTCCATCGCCTGCATGGAGCACAATTGTACTTTCGCATTCTGTGAGTAATTGGCCATTGAGGATGGACACTGGCAGCTCAGTGTGTGCGTATTTGCTGTTTTATTTATAGTAGACCTCAATATAGAGCATCTACTTAAGTGTACTACTTCACCTAGTCATCTCAACTGATATAAGTGTACACTACCCAGATGTACTGTATCTGTAATTGGGGCAACAACAAAAAAAATCACAGTGTTCCACACAGGCACACCCTAAAGGCTATTGAAGATCATCAGAGTCATCAAACTGTATTTTACATTTGCCCCCTCTGCTCATCATCTGTGCTTCCTAAATCATTTGTTTCTATTCACTTTTGAGGGAGAGAGAGGAGAAATGTCTTTTCATTCATCTTTTTGTGCTGTTTTGCAATAATAACCTCAATCTGGATTCTGGAATGATTTACTGGGTCATTGGACTATTGCAATTTCCATCATCATTTTTATTAGCTGCATCCATTTTTTCCCTCTTTTTACAGTTGACTATTATTAGCAGGTCCTTTCGTGCTCTTAAACTGTTATGCTCATTAATTTTAAGCAGATTAAGTGACATCATGGAATGCCTCACTGTCTCGCCTTACATTTGTTGTGTGCGGTTATTTGCTATAAGTTTAGGTTATTACTTGGTTTCTTCGATTCTCTGTGCAGTTTTTTTCTGTGGTGAGGTAGAGGTGCTGTAATTCTTAAAATTAGAATTAGCTCTTTCTTTCTTCTTCGTCTTCTTTTTTTTAATGGCCCAATTGGGAAGGAAGTGGTAATAACCTTTATTGGTGTTTTTATTGCCTCTTTAACGAAATGTAAAATTCAGCTGTATCTTTTACAAAGTATTATTTTGATGGCACAATATGGGAAAAAAGAGATGTTAAATGTTAAACTCTGTTCTATGGGTAATTTACAGAAACGCTTGTATGACAACAAAGGACAGAAACTTGGAATATACATTGTTTTCAAATAATGATGTGCCATGTTTCAGGAGCGTACAAGGCTTAGTTCTGGGTGCTTTAAAGACAAATGCACACTGCATTACTCCTGCACAAATATCTCTGAACTCTGACAGCATTGTTCCACTGATCATGTCATGTCTTGTTTATTTGTGACAATTTGTGTCGTTACCAGGCCAACAAGTACATTCTCTAGCAACAAGCCTGTCAGTAGATCTTGCACAGGCACTGGAAGAGTGACTTTTAAACACCAATTATCTCTGAGCTCAAAGTCAACTGAACAAGCTCAGATGCTCCCAGAATAGAAACGCTTACACTTGGTACAGGTGTCTGTTATAAGTGAAAAAGATGTTACAATGCTTGAAATGGATATTCCTCAAACATTCTGGGGTTTTCTTTATTTGACGTGTAAATAAACTTCACACTGAAACATTCAGGAGGGACTTTTATTTATATTTTATTGAAGGAGAGCGGTTGAAAAATAAAAGGGCGTAGTGACGTCATCGGGAAAGGAACTTGTTTCAGAGACGGAGCAAGTTATTGCTTTTTTATGATGTTTTTCTTTCTTTCTTTCTTTCTTTCTATTTTGCACTAGAATAGCCTAGTTCACGTAGGCCTTTGTTAAGAAAATAAATTCTCAAGCTAACTTTTTATGTGCTTTCTGAGAAGGAACTACATGAAAGAAAGTCCTCAACGAGAAGGCGTTTTTAAGATATGTTACGTAGTGAACAGTTTAAACTTTTGATGAAAAGTGTATGTAAAAATGAGAGGAAAATGCTTTCAACTCCCTTTTTTAATCGCTCGTTGATTGACAAAATGTACGTTAATATTGACGCTATTGTAACCTAGTGTTGAAGAAAACCAAAGTAACCTATTCAAATCATATTTGCATGTCTATAAAGATTTTTTGTCTTGCTTTCAGATGAATTTGCGCACTGAGTGTCGGTTGGAGAGGCAGTTCGCGCTCAGACACATTCGCGCTGTGGTGAGGGGTGGCCAGGCGCGCGTGCCAATCTTAAACAAACCACATCCGCGCCTCACAGCGCACACAGTGAAGATGGAGCTTGTTGAACACTGTCGCTGACGCGTGGAAAGACTAAAAAAGACACAAAAACATTTAAATTAAGTAAGTGAGATGGAAGAGTGACGAAGGAGTTCAAAACAGACCCGGGGAGATTCAAAAACGATGGCTTTTTAGTTTTACCACGGTGTACTGAAAATGGGAGCTGATTTCTACGGTTCCTCAGAAAAGAGTTTGCTCTCTTCCTGCTAAAAAGAACATCTTCATGGGATGTACGACTGGATATTCGGATTATAAACGGTTTTATTCCCCATTTTTCTTTCAGGTAATGTTACTTTTGGTGTTTTGGCGTTTGTAGGGATGTCTGTTGGAGTAAGCTACGTGTTGCGCGTGATTGGAGGATTTAACGGTCGTTTAATAACTCGTCGTTTGTCATAGCAGGGAAACTCTTGCAGTTTGGATGATTATTTGCAGTTCAATGTGTGGAAGTAAACGTACTTTTTTTGCACCTGTTTACAAAGGGGCTTAGATTTCTCTGTTTTTGCTCCACACAGAATGGCTCGCTTCGGAGACGATGTTCCCGGTCTGCTGGGAGCCGGGGATGGGGGTTCGGAGCGCAGTCGGAACCGGGATGCACCGGCGGTATCCACAGGTGGAGTTTCACCAGCCTTCAAACAGACCAAAGCGCAACGAGCCCGAACCATGGCCCTGTACAACCCCATCCCGGTCCGACAGAACTGCTTCACCGTCAACAGATCGCTCTTCATCTTTGGAGAGGACAACATCGTTAGGAAGTATGCTAAAAAGATCATAGAATGGCCATATCCTTTTGTCAAAACGGTAAAACACGCCCTGCCCCCTAAAAACACACGCTCGGTGTTGACAGCACATGCAAATGCGTTGTCAACACGTATTTACATAAGCATATGCAACTCCTGTGTTCATTTCTGCTGATCTGAAACTCAAAATTGTTTACTCGAAATCAAACTTAGAGGTTAAATTTGTTACAGTCCCCTCAATATCTACCTTAATTTGAGTTCAAGAGTTTTTGTTATAGTGTTGTAGGACTTAAAGACTCACAAAAAAGACTATATTAATAAAAAAAATGTATGTTTATCATACAACAGGTGTATTCAAGTCTTTCTTTTGTATGAATTGCATGTTCATAAAATGTATAATTCATAAAATGCATTTATAAAAAAATGACAGATCTATAAGTTAGTCAGAAATATATATTCAAAATGTAATTCATACAAATAATGACTCTTTGAATACAGTTTGATATTTTTGTGGGGCTTAAAGTCAGAAATATATAACTGTCTGAGTATTGCATAAAAGTAAGTGAAAAAGAAAAACAAAGCAGTTTTTGTTGTTTAAAAATATTATTGATAATTTAAAGATACGATTTCTGCCAGTCATTAAAACGTTTTTTTTTTGCATACTCACATGCCTTCAACACTACTAGACTAGTTTTTAGTCATTAAATTGAATTTTTGTAGATAATTGTAATAATAATAATAATATATTATTAGAATATATTTTTTCAATACAAATATTACATTTCTAAGAATTTGAAGCATGATTAATTTTTTTTTAAGATTTATTTTTTAATCATCCCTGATCTTTCTCACTGACTCACTAACATAGTGATTTGCATGTGCAAGATCTGCTTACAGGCTTGTGCATGAGATTGTACTCATTGACCTGGTAATGGCACAAAAGTAAAAATTTATGTATTCTGTTTGTAAACGCATGGAAAATTTCAAAATACACTTCCCGGTGTTATGCACTACATAATTCATTGTACTGACTTGCTTTCAGGACCATGGACAGAGACAGTGAACGTTCCACTATGTTTTCAAACTCAGAAAAAAGTAATATATCAGAGGCAGGGCTTTATAATTCAGGGTTAAGAAAAACATGTTTTAGCATTCCAAATTCCAATCTGTGATTAGACACTTTTATTGATGATGAGGTTTATGTTTTGTTGTGAGCTCTCTTTGTAATTAATGCCCTGTCAGGATGGTTCCTAATGATGAAGAGACATAAACAATCGTTGATGATTTTGTCAGGAGAGGGAGGAGAGATCTACCACATAATCCCTACAGGAGGTGTTTGGGTTTGCATGTCATTGATTACAGACTTCAAAGTGCCATGTTGTGATTAAAAAAAGCCTTCTCTATGATGCAAATAAGATGAGTCAGTGACAGGAGATGATAAGCCCGTCGACTATAGTTGTCACAGGTGCGCACTACTGGAACAATTGTTGTTTTTTTCATTTGCCCTTTTTTTAATGCCACAGCAGACTGTCCAGACATGACTGTGTGGCTTAGCATTTACGTAAATCAGGCAGAGCTCAGTGACTAACTGTAAAGAAGTAAAAGCCTTGCTGTAATCCAGTTATTTTTGTAATCCAGAGTTTGCTGGTTTAAAGCATTAGTGTTTGAGTTTTAAAGTCATTTTAGGGAAAGTAAGAGTGTTTTTTGACAGCCATTGTCAGGTGGAGCACAGTATATACTTATGTAGATATTACAGGGTTTCTGTGGGTCTTAAAAAGTCTTAATTAGCCCTTCCATAAATTAAGGCCTTACAAATTCATGATATTAAATGTTGCATGCATTGCTAAAAGAAAGTAATATATTCCTCAGTATTTTTGTCTTGTTTTCCAATACAAATATCTAAACATCCTTAAATCAAGATACATTTACTTGAGTTGCAAAATGAAGATAGTAAGTCTTGTTTTCTGAACTCTAAGCGAGATCCCAATTCGTCGGTCATCCGACGTGACGTCTCCGTTCCCTCCTTCAGGGAACGAGGGTTACATACGTAACCGAGACGTTTCCATTGCATATATCCTTCACTTACAAGGCAATCCCATAATGCATTGTAAGAAACTCTGTGAGATTCCAAGGTGAGAGAAATATTGATTATAAATACATTTAACTTCAAATAAAAAATAGTTTTGTTACCCAATGTTTTTTTTTTTTTTGTTAAAGGGGTCATCGAATGTGACATGCACTTTTACAAGCTTTGTGAACTGAAATGTGTGTTGGCAGTGTGTGTACACAACCACTTCTGTGGGTCTTAAAAAGTCTTAATTAGCCCTTCCATAAATTAAGGCCTTACAAATTCATGATATTAAATGTTGCATGCATTGCTAAAAGAAAGTAATATATTCCTCAGTATTTTTGTCTTGTTTTCCAATACAAATATCTAAACATCCTTAAATCAAGATACATTTACTTGAGTTGCAAAATGAAGATAGTAAGTCTTGTTTTCTGAAAAATGTATCAAAATTAAGTAAGTTTATGCTTAAAAGAAGAGCAATTATCTGTCAATGGGGTATGGAATTTGTTCTTGGTTTAATCATAACTTCCTTTTATCAATTTCACAGAAAACAAGACTCATTATCTTATTTAATTTGCTTATGTAAATGGGTCTTGATTTAAGAATCTTCAAGCATTTGCACTGGAAAACAAGAAAAATACTGAAGAAGAGTATCACTTTTTTGCAGTGTGATCAGAAGGTGCAATAAAAGTTATTCCCATATTCTAGTGAAGAAAATGGGCTGTAGCATTCATTCACCTTTGCTAAAAACTTCAACACCCATAATGCACTTTTGCACTTTTTTGTGCCACCCATCTGCTTATCCAGTTGTCTGTGGGCGGGAATACAAAAATGCGGAAATTTGATCTCTAGTTTTAACAAGAGCTCTGGAGCTGTCAAAATTTTATTGGTTTATGTGTTTTGTGTCATCTGGCAGACTTTTGGTGACAAATAAATGAGGATATCTGGATGCATGTAACATGGAGAAAGAGTACACATTGTTCATTTACATATACTACTGACATAGCAAAAATACAAAGCTGGTTGAAAATTTGCCAACTTACCCTTTTAACAGCCAAAAATATAGCATTATGATTATTTGTTTGTTTATGTTTTAAAAAGCTCTCTTTCAGTAACATTTGATGTTAAATTTGAAATCAGAAAAGCAGCTATTTCCTCACATCTAAAAACAAACGTCTAAATGCCAAATGAGTATGCATGCTAAAAAGAGAAACATCTCACTATGCAGGCGAGGGCTTTAAAGTGTGAACCAATCTGAGCTTTACACAGAGGTGTCATTTCCAAAGAAGAGAGACGATAACGTGTCAGTGTACAGTATGTGTTTCCCTGCTTTCAGCTGACTCTAGTTCTTGCCTTGTGTTGAATGTCATTCCTGTTGTTTTGAGTGTCACGAAGAAGGGATGAAATTAGAGCGGGCACATGCTGCAATCATGTGACAAAAGGTTTCGTTGTTTATTGATGCCTGTTGTGAGACAGTAACATGCTTAATGTTAAAAGCTCAGCAACCTAATGATGAAGAAAGAGCGAATGAGGCTGGTGATATAATGGAAATGTGCTTGTCTGTGTTGATTGATACGTCTTTGTGCTTTCCCTCTTTTATTTGTGACAGCGTGACTGTGTGTGTGTGCCTTCATGGTAAATTCAATTATAGCATCTATCTGGTCTTGGCTCTCTTGTGTACCTAATTGCCCACTTGCGACATAATGCAAGTGTCAGTGTCTGCGATCACTTTAGGCAGATTTTAAGCATATGGTCACACATCTCTCGCTCTTAGAATGAGAGCTTCAGGGGACTGAAGAGACGGAGGCTCTGCTAATGGTGTTGTAATGACTTGGCATTGCCCCAAAATAAATGCAAGAGTCTGATCCTCAGAGAAAGGAGCAAACTACATCCCTATGGGAGTGATACTCAAGTGTATTACAAGAAAAGATCAACAGTGTAATTAAATATATGTTGTAGACTCATTATGTTTTGGATTTGGAGACATTAATAGCCAATGGTAACAAGTTGCCAGTTTTTTTAATCACTTTAGAGCTGCTCACACTCGTGTGAGGAATAGCTTATAAGAGTTTTGTTCCAAAACCCAGCAAACAGAGGGAACATTTTTAAAATATCATAAGCGTGGCACTGAGTTAAAAACTGTTCTAAAAGGTAGGCGTCTTAATTATGCTGCCTCTTAAGGTACCTTGTTTTGATCACGGTGTCAGGGGTTATATAATGCTACATGCACTTTTACAAGTTGTTTGAACTGAAATGTGTGTTGGCAGTGTGTGTACACAACCACCCTATAATGATAAAGATCCACCCAGTGTTTTATTTTTTTTATCTCGTTAAATCATGTCCCCTTTCTCAAATCGAGCCGATCTCAGATGCCTGTCTGTGTGTCGCCTTTCCTAATAATGTGCTAGTTAGCGAGCTTTATGATGAATGTGGCTAAAGTTTACCGTCTCTCAGAGAGTGGCTCGGAAGAGAGGGGCGGGGCGAGCAGATCTCATTAGCATTTAAAGCGGAATGCAATAAAACAGCGTGCTGTAGACAGAGCTGTTTTTGACAGGGCACCGAAACGGCTCGCTGTGAACAACGGTGTATTTGACAGGGTAAAAAAGGTGTTGTTTTACACTACCATTGAGAAATTTTAACCAAACTATGTTACAGACTTTTCATTAAGACCCTAAAGAATCATATCATCTTGTGGAAAATGGGCATCCGATGACCCCTTTAACAAACAGAAACATACAGTATAGAAGAATCACAACAAACTAGAGTGTAAAAAACTAAAACAAATATCGAATTAGTTCAAATAAAATAAAGAGTAATGTAAGCTGAGAGAAGAAAAACATAATATATTTTTTATGCTTAATAGAGTATTGCGTGATTAGTTTAGCAGCATACTCTATCGAAATTGTGATAGTTGAGTAAAGATAGTTCTGTTGAATAAAAATTAATTATTTTACTTGTGTGTGTGTGTGTGTGT